CTACTACTACTACGACGACGACGAATGCGACTACGACTACGACTACGACTACGACTACGACTACGACTACGACTACGACTACGACTACGACTACCACTACTACTACTACTACCACCACCACCACCACCACCACTATTTTTCTACAATTACCACTACAACAACAACTACTACTACCACTTCTAGTGCTACTACTTCCAATACCACGACGACGACGACGACGACTACGACGACGACTACTACTACGACTACGACTACGACGACGACGACGACTACCACTACGACGACGACGATGACGACGACGACGACGACTACGATTACGACTACGACTACGACTACGACTACGACTATTACGACGACGACGACTACTACGACGACGACGATGACTACTTCTGCTGCTGCTACAACTACTACTACTACTGCCTTATACCCATTACCTTTATTCCGTACTGCTTGTACTTACGAACTACTACGTACTACATATTGCTTTCAGAATACTGGGTGCAACTGGCTGCGTACGACTTACTGATGCCTTGCTGACCTTGATACTTTACCACTGGTTACTAGCTACCAGCTGCTAGCTGCTAGCTAGTAGCCTACTAGCCTGACTAATGCCGCCGCTGCTGCTACTACTGACAATACCACGAGCACCGCTACTAACACTTCGCCTCCCGCCCGTAGACGACGACCACCACCACCCTGTTAGAAACGAACCTTAACGAGTACAACGCAACTGCTTCTCTGCACTGCTGCACAACGCCTCGACGAAAATCTTATGTTTTGGAAATGAGACGAATCTGACAGCTCAGACAGTCAGTGCGACGGCTTTGCAAAACCTTTCCCGGTTTCTGTCTGGGCCATGCGCAGGGCTTGCTGCGCAACCTGCAGCGCTTGCGCGTGGCTGTCCTGCCAAGGCGACCAGCTCGCGTTTTTTTCTGTACATGCCTTCCGCGGGGATGCGTAAGAATCCAGACCTGCTTTTCGTAGAACACAAGGGGGCATGAGGAGCCACGTGGCCGCCGAGAACGCCACCCGTGCCAGTGCCAGTGTCGAGATAAACTGCAGTCGAACGCATGTTTCTCGCTGTTCGTTTGAGGCCCCGGTAGTAGTGACACTTTGTTTTGGAGTCACTGGATGAGAAATCTACTGCACAGGACACATGGCGAAGCAGTCCATTGCCAAATAGATCTCTGCCGAAGCCAGCTGCATGATGGCCTCACACAGAAAGAAGCGTGACCCCACCGCTGCTTGTGTCATGTGCATCTTCGGCACCCACCTTCGCGACGATTTCGCCGTGCTTTTCAAAAGTGAAGATTTCGCTGTTTGCAGCCTGTTGGTTGCATGTCAGAGACTAGGTCGGACTGCCTAGCACGCTTCAGCTCTCGAGCCTGCAGCGCCTGTTCGAGGACCTTGGTGTGAGGTAAGTCGACAAGTGTGGGCGCGCAACATCTCACACATCCACCAGGCCTCAATGTCTGGCAATCCATCGAAGCCCTTTTCCTCTGCTGCTTTGATCCGTGCCTCCGCCGCTGAGAATCCACAACGCAAGGGCACACGCAGCTCTTGCACTTATGCTGCTCATTGAAGTGTGCTACGACGAAAGTAACCCTCGCGGATGCCCGCATCTCGAGTTCGACGTGTTGATCCGGAGAAATAACATGCACACCAACCCCGCGTTCGGAGAATCTCCAGCATGGCCCGGCCGACTTTCGTTGCTGCCACTCTCGCAAAGACCCAAGTAAAATCAAGTAAACAGGGCAAATAAGGAGAAAACAAAGTCGTCTTACCCTGGGCCTTGGTGACCACCCGGAGAGCATCCGCTTCTCTCTCTGCCTTCTCTTCCTTTGCCTTGGCGTGCCGACCGTCCAGTGGCATCCCAGAGACTCGATAGATGCAAGATCTCGTGAACGTCTAAAACGCTTCGAGGTGCTGCCTGCCGCTGAACCTGCCACAAAAAAGGCAGGGAGGGGAAAGGTGCCGCTTCTGCTGCTAGCTGCTCACCGCTCGCCTCTCCAGCCAACAGCTCAGCCTCCTCAAAGTGGCCGTCCTGATGGAGAAGCATGCATTGCACTCCGGATCGCTTCGGCAGTGCATTCCCTCAAAGGTTCCACTCTGGCCCTAAATCCAAGGATCCGACTTCCAAGATGTCGAGAGCATCGTCCAAGTCATCTTTGTCCCTGAAAGTTGGGTATTTGAAGATTCCGCTTGTTTGCAGGGCCCTGCATGCCGAGTACCCTGCGCAATTCGATCAACCGACAGCTCAGCGGGCGCAGGGTCTGCCGGTGTCGAAGTGGCTTTGGCAATGTCTACCTTCTCGGGAAGCAGCGGAGGAGATCCACGCGAACATTCCCAGATAATTCTCTTCACACGCCCAAACCTTCGGTGCCGGAATGGAAGGTGCGCCACTTCCGAGTCCAGTCGGGCCTTCGCTCGTGTGCAACAGAGACTTCTTCCGGCTTCTGATTCTGAGCACTGGAGCGCTGGCCTCTGCCAGGAGGACCTTCGCAGCCGCAGGGGCGGGACGCCACAGAGAAGCCGAGCCAAGCATGTACAATCTAAAGGTCGCACTGGAAGGCGGCTTTTGGCTGACCTCTTCCCTCGGCGCTCTCGCCACTTTGTAATCTGCAGTTGTTTCGGCGGTCTTCGCCGGCTTCGCTGCCGGCACCTGGCTTGACACTCAGCGCTCCAGTTCTGAAGTAGTCTGAGGATTTGCGAGGGACGACGCCCTTCAAGCCTCCTCTTTCCGAGGAGGAGGTTCCACCTTTTGCGACGGCGCTGCACTGCCTCTCGAGAAATTCAGAAGCAGAGGTGTCATCAAGTTTTGTGCAAGCCCTTCTACCGTGTATTTCTGGCGTGCTCATGCGATCCGTCTTTCATGTCTAACAGTTGCAAGTGGTTGACAATCGATTCTTGGTGCCGGGCTGATCAAAGGCGGCAGCTCGTCATCGTCGTCCTCCTCCTGAGCCTTCTGCGCTTCCTGGCTCCAAAGGTCCAGAACTCACAACACTGCCGGCAAGCAGTTCGACCAGCGGGACAGCAATATGCCTGGCCTTGGAAAAGGACGGAGCTTTGTCCTGCACTCGGTCGCCAGTTTATGCGAGCAGCAACAACTGTGGCATGCGTGTTTTTCTGCTGCGTCCGCGGGCCGCGGCCACAATTTACGGGGCTGTGGGCCAAAACCCGAGAAAGGAGATGTTGGTTGGGAAACCCTAAACCCTGAACGATGATGAGGTGTTCGTTACCCACCGCAAGAAAAGCAAGAACCGGAAAAGAGATGTTGTCAACACCAAAAGCCTACATGAAGCTGTTGGTTGATATGCACAAAACCCGAAAAGGAGATGTTGGCCGGACACGCCCTGAACTGATGAGGTGTTCGTTGCTCACCACCAAAAACCAAGAACCGGAAAGGAGATGCTGGCAAAACCAGAACCCTAACCGAAGCTGTTGGGTGACATGCACAAAACCCCGAAGGAGATGCTGGTTGCCGAACCCAGAACCTTAATAAAAGGAGATGTTGGTTGAGAAACACTAACCCATGCATGATGAAATGTCCCGAAGCCCTAAAAGACCGCGTGAGGGCCGCGGGGGCAGCGGGCCGTGGGGCGGACCGCGGGCCACGAGACTGCATGTGAATAATGTGCTTGTCTTGCTCGTCCGGCGGTCCTGCTTTGGCGGCGATGCTGTGTGCGATGCTGTCGTCGCCTGTGAGCCTGAGATATGGTCGCCGAGATGTGTCCACGTTGCTTCTGCACTCGTTGTTGCAGGTGCTGGGCCACTCCCAACGAGTGGTGGCAGCTCGTCGTCACTCTCCACCTTTAATTGAATGACAGCAGGTCTTTGCGTGGCCCTTGGAACGAAACACGACCCACCTCCGTGATCACGGCCTGAGCGGGGCTGGTGTGCTGTGCAGGAAGGCTCGAGGCTCGACTCTGGCCCGAATCATCTGAGTCTGGCACCATGGGAGTGTGCTAGAAACTCACAGCAGGGTTGGCCACATCTTTCTAATTGTTGCGAGCACGTGTGACGGACCGAGGCACAATCAAGCACAAGCTTTCACCGCCTATTCATTGCAAGCTGCATGCTGGCAGGCGCAACCGACATGCGCTCCAGAGGGTCGGGAAAAAACGCGTGCTACAGCCATGCAGAGCTATGGACATCCGCGAGAAAGCTGCTTCTTTTGCCGCATTGCTTTGGCCCGGCAGTGCACATGCGAAACTGATTCTCGTGACACTAAGAAGTGCCGACCGTCTACGCCAGCTAGCCGGGTTTCGGGACAAAAAACATACATCTCGACTGTAAAAGACTGCATGCTGGCGGCTGGTGTCACTTCTCCTCCCCAGAAGGGAAGTGGGAAGCATTTAAGGCCTGGCAGACGATCAACGGCTCGCATTATTCAAAAGGCCTCCCTTCTAAGCTGCCAGTCAGGTTGCATGTTTCAGCAGCGGCCTGGGAACAGCGAAGCCAAGTGGAAGTTTCACATTGCCGCCTAATTACACTTGAACCTTAAGCTTGACAGTGTGAAGTTGTGCCGTCTTGATGATGGTTCGCCTTTCCGTGGACTTGGTCACCTGGTACAAGTAGCCTAAGTACACGTGCTCTGCAAAGAGATTGGCAGATCACTTCGAGCCGCTCACTGGGCTCTGGCCTACTGGTCATTCAATTGTTTCCAGCACACGAGCCTCACTTTTGAAGGCTGTTGCGTCCCAAGGCTTGGGCGACCAGCGAAGGCTGGGATGGACACCAAACTGGATCTGTACATGGGTATCATGGGTTCCTGAAATTTCTGAAAGGAACAAACAAGAGTACCTTGAAACGGTTTAAAAGAACAGAAACTGCAGCGCCCGATAGATTCGTGCCGTTTTAGTGTCCATGGACATGGTCCAAACATTGGTGGGTATAGACCTCCCCTCGACAAATCCAGAACCTGATTTGATCCACGAGAGTGCTGCCTGCTATGGCACCGGCACTCCCGATGAACATCCAAAGGGAGTATGCTGCCAGGTTGTGTTCCCTTGGAATGAACTTGTCGATGGACTTGGAAGCCACCGCATAGTTGAATCCTTGACCGAAGAAAGTCAGCGCAGCAGAGGCCCAGCTGACTGCTCCAATCCCAAGGATGGTGAGACACATGCCGAGTACACTGCATGTCACTCCAAAGCACAGGGCAACAATGTTCTTAGGTAAGGTGTCCAGGGCAAAGCAGTACGCAAAGCGACGGCTCGCCATATCACTCAGTCCAACGAAGACGAAGAATACCACAAAGAAGCGGTGTTTGTCCATGAGGTGGTTGTCTGTTGGTCCGAAGAGTGGTACCTTGTCAGAATTGAACGTGTTGAAGTTGGCAGGAAGAGCACCTTCCATTACAAAGTCCGTGACGAAGTGCGCAAGGATGTATGGGCACAAGATTGGCACCCATGCATACCAATGCCGGACAGAATTCCACACCTTTGCCTGCTTGTTGCTTTTGAGCACTCGCCCACTGGCTGCCGGTCCCGAATCATCAGATCTATCACGGAGCTTAGGGACGATCCGCTTCGCAAAGATGATAAGCCCAACAGGCATGCACAGAACAATGTACCAAAACAGGACGGCGACAGGCATGCCGAATGAGACAAGGGTGAATCCTATCACATTGATTATTGCGAACGATGCCGGGAAGCCAATGATGGCCCAGGACTTTGTCAGAGGCCCAAGTGGGGTGATCACGTTGAGGTAGGCAACTTCGAAGACCCCCAGAGACATTCCGACGAGGCCGAAGGACAGAAATGCCCATCCAATCCACAAGTGCCCGAGCGAGTATATGAAGACCGGCGGGATCAAGCAACCCAGCATCATACATACCATTGAAAGATAGACACGAGCCTTGACAGAAAGACACTGCAACAAAAAGTTCTGTGCCAGTGTCATACTCCACTTGAACCACTGGACGAGCGCAGCAGCCTGGGTAAAGATGCGTCCATTGGGGCTGTCATCGCTGATGTGCAAAGACTGCTTGAACGCATGCTGCAGGGGGCCTACAAGTGTGTAGCCCTGGATGACACAGATCATCACCACCAGCACGATGCGTTCTGGTGGCAAGGACTCTTCTTGCCCGTGGTCTGCCGCAATGTCGCCGTTTTCCTCATCGCGAGAGTCCTCACCCTCCGAACTCTGATCTCCAGGTTTCTGATCCTTCGAAGCACCTTCCATTTCATCCACCCCCGCTTCTGCCATGCCGCTGGCTTTACTGGCAACGAAATTCACTACATGCTGTTGCGCCCTCTGCTTTGAGCATGTCTGACACCCAAACCGACACTGCATCGAGCTTCTCGGACAGCAGATAATGAGACAGCGAGGTTTGCTCATGGGGATGTCTGCCTACACATCCCTGCTACTAAGACAAGGCAAGGCGGATAGAGAGCGACAAAGAGTGTGATAGATTCCATGGGGCGGGGATGGGGTGTTTCAGAAAATGCTTCGTAGATGAGTGTTGGGGAGGAGAGGGAGGGAGGGGCGGGAGGCATCACAGAAGTCCCCAAATTCGCAGACATCATGCTACGCTCCAGCCTGCGTGGGGGAAGAGACGCGGCTCCAGAGTCAGAAGCTGAAGGATCAGGGCTTCTAAGGGGACATGAAGGGATGAAAAGAAGCCTTGAATCATGCTTAACCACGGTGCCCCCTTGTTGGGAAAGAGTCGTCTGCTCGAACCGGGATTCTGAAACGTCTTGAGATTCTGGCTTCTAGGGCCTCCACGCAGACTCTCCGGCTATTCTCAGGCTTGAACCACAAACAGGCAAGCAAGCTTTCTCGTGAACGTTTGACCCGGGTTCCAGAATTATCTAGGATTTCTTAGCTTTGTTTTGGAGTTGTTTGCTTTCTCTTGCCCAGATTCAGATTCTCGGTTGACAGTGCGCATTTCCACTATGACGTTGGACTCAGCTTCCCGCGCCAAGGTCGAAATGTCTGAAGTCCCAGCAGGGCCACACTACTCAGCATCTCGACGGTAAATCCCGCTGCTACATGGGGGGAGCGATGGGTTGTGGAACTTCTAAAGTCTAAGGGTCCAAAGGCTCGAAGTCCCACATGCCACATGAGAAACGACTTGAGGGCTGAACATGCTGGAGGGAATGGTTTTGGGGGTGGCCCCTTCAATGCGCGCAAAGCATCTCCTGATCCCGCCCCCTCATGAGCAGCTAGTAAGCCAAGGCCAAGAAGCGAAAAGCAGAAGAAGCCAAGGTCGAGGCCCGGAAGCAAAAGCCCACAAGCCGAAACTCCGAGAAGCCAAAGCTCTGAAATAGAGAAGCCGAAAGCCAATCAAACAAAGACGAAAAGCCAAAAGACAAAAAACACAAACGAACCAACAAACCTCCTTTACTGCGCCCCATTTGATCTATTCAGACTAACAGCCTGGCAGGCACATTGATTTGTCATCAACGGCCCCAGTGCGCAAATCCTTTGAAATCAGGACGCTGCATCGCCAAAGCCCAGGTCGTGACTGCATGATGACTTTTAGCAACTCACGCCAAGAGTGGCCGCCTCAGCTTTGAAATCCAAGCAGCTTCTGCTGAAAGGCGGCCATGCAGCTTTGTGCTGCTGCGCAAAAATGTTGATCAGCCCTAACTTTTGAGTGAAGACACAAGGCAACGCTAGCCGACTAACCGCCAGATTGCAAATGAGGGACGCAAGTGAAGACTGCACTCACAGTAGCTGATGGGCGAAGAGCGGGGGCCATAAAACAAAACACGCACTCAGACCGTTCAGACAAAGACAGTCGATGGAGTCTCTGCCTGCGTCAGGGGAGAGCAGCATTCTTTCGGTCACGTCCCTCTCGTGCCATCCCCCCGGCCTTCCCATTCAGCAGTTCGTTTGCTGACGCCTTGAGCTCTTCAACGCCAGGCCAGACCGTCACCGAGGATCCATGGTCAAATCCTGAATGCCTCACATAATCGTTCAGGTCGTGGCCACCGCACACCTTCGTCGCACCATCCTGAGGCAACGGCACAAGCACGAGACAAAGTTAAGGCTTGCACAGCCCAGCACATACGGTCCTTGGTGTAGACGGTGTTGTCATGGGTAATGAAGCCCTTCGCGTTGTGGCCGCAGTCCGACTGATATCTGCCACCAACTTTCAGAAGACATCGATTGTTGGTGAAGGCATCATTATTGCCCGTTCCATCGGGTAACAATCCTGTTCCAGCAAACCAGGCATTGCTAATGAAAAGGTACATGTTGTTGATTTGGTGATTGTCGTGGCCTCCAAAATCGTTTTTCAGTCCATTCGTACCATATGCAAAGACATTGAAGTCTTGCAAAAGGTACGAGGAGCCATCGTCTGTGTCCACACCCTCCTGTGTGCTGTACGTGCCGAGCCACAGATTCCTGGTGATGTGTCTTTGTTTCGGTATGATGGACGGCCGACCGGTTCGAAGAGTCGTAATGTAGGGGACGCGATCCCAGCTGTTGTATGGCCCATGATCGCCAGACTCACGCACACAGTTCCCAATCACATTTCCTTCGATTAAATCACCTCCACCAAATCCGTCGTTGAAGTTGATCCCGGCGCGAGGGCCATTGAAGTGCACGTTGCCGATAAGCTGGGTCTCTGCAGTCACCTTGGGGTGGGGTGCAGGCCGTGATATGCTGCATTGAGCCAGCGACACCAACAAAAGGACATCTTGGCCTGGAGGGTGCCCAAGCTTAGCTTCGAGAAGCTGAGGAGCTCTGACACGACCATGTCACGAGGTGGCCTACAACCCGCGCCCCGAACCCAGAAGCCAAAACTGAATGGGCCATCGAGAAGGGACCAGTCCCACGGGCAGCTGCGGGTTCTTTTGTTGGGGGGGAGGCGGGGGGGCTGGCTGGCGAGTACAAGGTCTTGAAGGGGTCTCAGAGAAAGACCTTTCTGTTCCTTGTACGACGGACATCCCGCCTCATCTTAAAGAACCAAAGCGCGCAGAACAGTGCCTTGCCGAGGCACGCTGCGCGACAAACCATGGTGAAGCGAAGCGCGCAGTAACAAAAACGAACATGTTCTGAGAAGCATGCCCTCGTTCATGAGTGCGAGACAGCTACGAAACCAAAGCGCGGTCAAAGTCAGAGAACCAAGCGACTCTAACCCCGCAAAGGCCGAGATCAGAGCGGAGCCAAGCGCGGCGAGGATGCAGGGTTCTGGGCCCAGTGTGCCCCTTCATTGCTGGCCACCCCTTGTGTCACGCGCGTCTGCGTGTCAGGTTTTGGCCCTGGCACGCCGTCTCGTGTCAGATGGCATGCCTGGCCGTGCCACGACCTGTCTAGCCTGAAACGCCGCAGCTTCGCAGCTTCCCTCCCCTTGGGGTGCCCTCCCCCCCGGAAAAAGCTCAGACTAGAAACTCGGTCTAAGAGTCGAACACGGTTCGAGCCGAGCCGCAGCTTGAAACCACATAGAGGATTGCTTCTGCCAGATCCTTAGCAGGAGATGGCCGGACATGTCACGCCACGTCAGATCTGCATGCTGCGCGCCGATGCAGTCAAGCCATGAAGCCCAATCTCACGCACAAGGTTCGACTTCACCTCGGAAGCTGTCAGCCGAGTGGCGATTATATACACTATGAAAGGGCAGTCTGCAATGTTTATGAAGCGACCATCTACGTTTGGTGATATGTGGTGCATTTCTCGCCCATCATCACACAGACTGTGCTTACTGACCTGCTTCCCCGGTAAGACCTGACGTGGCGGTATCGGCATGAATACTGTCAGCTAAGATGCCAGAGTCCCGTGTGGCACCCGCATGCCGCGCCCGTCCGGCCCCATCAAAGTGCCCTTTGGCAGCGTCCTGAGCTGCTTCGACTGTGAACTCCAGCAGAGCTCCGCAGAGCTGTCCATTTCGAAGTCTGGTTTTGAAAAGCTCTTCTGTTTGAAGCCACGCCGAGTCGCAAAGAGCAGTTCTCATTCAAGCAATCTCCTGTGTATCCCCAAGCAGCCATAGCTGAACTTCCTATATAAGAAAACTCGTTGCCCGTCAAGCTCGCATTTTTCACGGCACCATCCAGGAAGATACCGTTCCTTAGACGTCTCATCTTCCAGAGAATCTAGAGTCTACGGCCTACCTGACTTCAATATGCTTTGGGATTCCAAGCCCAAAGGGCCCATCCAACTTGGTGAGCAGACTGTCCGCCACCGTCACGTTCGACGCATCGCGGATGACGATGGCGGCCAGGCGCTCCAAGGCCCAGTCGCCCCCTTGGCGATGTTTCGACTTCTAGCTACACACGCCGTTTTACCTGGCGTCCCGGTTCCGGCTCAGCTCTGCTTCATGCTCATCATGTTCTCCCGTCTACAAGGCCTAAACCCAACACCTTGCCTGATGGCAGGCCGTGAGGTTCCAGGTAGGTCAGCATGGAATCCCGAACTTCGACACCGCCTTGCTTGAGTACGAACCGGTTTGGTAAGCAACTCAAACTATGCTCGCAGGGTTGGTCCAGCTCTCGGACTGCAAGTGAACTGTTGCTGTCTGGCAGCGTAGACTGCTGTCAGAGCTGGTGATATTGAGAAGTACTTGCGTGACGGGCAGGACCCACTGCTCGGTGCCGTCAGGCTCTGTGTTCGTGCCGTTGAAGGAGAAGTAGAGCATCCGGCTTTGATGGTCATAGAAGAACTCGTTGGGAGCATCGCACTCCTGTGGAGCCCAACTGGCCCACATAATCAGTAGAAATGAAAGACACAAGACAGATAGAGACAGAGACATCAGAGAGAGAGAGAGAGACCAAGTCCTCCAGCACGTTCTCGATCCACCATTGCCCTCCAGTTTTCACTCCCTCACCACCCTGATTTCCACCACGATGAGCGGAGAAGACCTCGGTGCAGAGGCCGAAGCCAACAAACTCCTGCCTCTTTGTGTACATGGCTTCAGCTGCGGGGCCATGGACTCTCCACGGACTTCGTCCACCAAGAACTGCCAGGAGAACCACCGCCCGCCACCCCGCCATGCGTTGATCACAGGCTTGGTGCTCAAGCTTGTGTAGTTCTGAAAGTGTGGCAGGACCGTCGATGCCTCCCAAGAATTTCAAGATCCCTTACGGCCAACTCGACAGATCTGTGTGTGTGTGTGTTGAACCCATCAAGCAAAAACAAATGTGCACCCAACAGTCGAGCCTTGTCGATTCCGGAAGGCGAGTTGTGTGTTATGATGCCTCTTGGTGGGTGGGCCCCGCACCAATACCCGGCAGAGGGCTTGACATCGTCGCATGTTCCCCCCACTCCGATATAGAACCTTCTGCAGATTACCAGAGCAGGTCTTGATTGTTGAATTTGGGGCAGCACCGAGTACAACAGAGACACACAGTAACTTGTGCTCGCTGAGCCCTACAACAAGCTTCCGGACTTGAACACCGGGCTTTTCCCAGATCCAGGCTTATCGTCACCCTCTCCCTGCCCTGAAGGCTTTGCGACCAGATCTGAACGGACCGCCCACAGAGAAACTGTTGCTTGCGACCTCTCGAGGCTGGAGCCTTTTAAGTTGGGACACTGTCCGGCGCGTTGAAGCTAAACCAAGTGGCTTTCCGAAGTCGCCCTCGCCTGTCCAAATTTTGGACCCATCGGGAGAAGTCATGGGCCATTCCACCCCGGGCCAGTCGCTGCTGCTGACGGCCATGTCCCTGGATGGTGGGCGCTGCCGTGGAGGTGTCCAAGATGTGAAGCCATCACCTTGGAGGCGTGTTCTGGACTTAGCCCTTGGCTGGCCTTTTGCGACTTAAGGCCTACAGTCTACAATGTAGTTCTCTTCTACAAGGATACAAGACACGGATGAATGCATTGACATAGTCTCCACCGCCCATTGACTGGCCAGCACCATACAGCCATTGCCCGGTACGCTCCGGAGCACCGTCCGGATACTTAGCGCGGATTGCTCGCTCTCCGTTCAAGCGAAGCCCAGGAAAACCCTCCGGGCCGATATCCAAGTTTAATGCAGAAAGGTCCGCTCGCCAAAGGTTCGTCATCATGCGACGGCCTGTGATTGTCCCGTTCTGCGAGACCGGATGGAATCCAAATGGGTCTTTCATACCATAACATGTGTGAAGCCAAGCAGGGTCGGCGGATTCATGCCATACATAACTTGAATGATCGGCGGCAGCGTTTTCACAGTCTTGCAAGGACTGGAAAGTACCGAGGAAGAGGCAACAGTCAGCGCTCTGTTTTGGCTTGGGCACCAACCCAAAAATGTTGTTCCAACCAGTGTAACGCCTCCAGCCTGTCTCTTTCCGAACATTGCTCCAGGCAGCTTTAGGGATGTTTAGGGGGCGTCCCCCACTCAGCACTGCGTGTTCGCCCGGGTAGTTCTGGATCTGCAGCCCCTGCAGCCGTCATAACACGGTACAAGCCAACGGGGTTCCCACTTGTCCGACTCCGTGCCTGGATGAACTTCTCCTTGGAGATTTGTAAGGTGGCATTCACGTAGTAAGTGCCCTCTCGAAGCACGATCACCGGCTTCGAAGACAGACCAGCAGCAATCTCCAGGGCGGCTTGGAGTGACCTTCGGAACATTTTCAGAACTGCACTGGCTCATCAGCGGAAACGAGCCTACGAGCGCGCAAGACTGCACGGCAACCTGGGCAGTGTGCAAACACCTTGCCTCACTGGTAGCTGCAAAGTCCCGGGGTGGTGGTCCTGCCCCCTGCCGTCTACGAAGATGGCATCCGAAGGCGCTGGATACCTGCTTGAGGGCGGCCCATTCTAGGAACAGATATGTAAGCTAGACACACAGACGCGAGATCAAATTTCGTCCCTGCCTTGGAGGCTGCCAGTGATCCTCGTCGCTTGGCGTGGTCCGATTGCAGTTCTGTAACTGCATCGCCTCCCGAGCTACCGTGGCGAAACATCGCTGAACATGACGTCTACGAGTTTGACCGAGTCTAGCCCGCCTCGAAAAGGCTGCGGAAGGACCCCCGCGCTGGCAGAAGTTTCTGGCCCTGCTGCCAGACGAGTTCGCGGATGGCACAGTCATACTCCTCTGGAACGCCTGGAATGCCGAGAAGGCTCAGATCAGATCAACCCATCCACATCAAAGCAAAGCAACAGCCAAGCGTGGGGACGCAAGTCACGCTCCTTCCGGCGTCCCGCTGTTGATCCACCCAGTTGTCCCAGCTCTCGCTGAAAGCGGTACCAAAGCACCAAACGAGCTGAGGGCACCGAAAACTCCCAGCGGCCGCGACAACATGACTGGACAACTTGCGAAAAACTCGAGCCTGACATGCCTGCACCAGGTCTTGTTTGGGCAGTGACCGACATGCCCACGAGCTGTGAATCGAAATCGAGTTCGCACTGCTCCCAACGCTGTCAAACACCAGCAACCCTCACCAACCTAACCAATCCTAACCAACCCAACCATTTCTCACCAACCCTAACCTGCAGGAAGTGGACGGCGCCCTCCCCTCCTCTTTTAAAAGCCTCTCGGGAGCGGCCCGCTCTGCAGGGCAAGAGCCGAGTTTTCGGTCAGGCGGCCTTGGCGACAGGAAAGGGAAAGACTCGGAAATTCGGCTCCCCGAAGTACCCAAACCGTGAGCCTTGGAGGGCTGCGCCTGCGCTCGCCGCAGCTCCTGCAAAGGTACGATGTCGGCGTATTCGGCACATCGCTGCAGAGCCTCGTTCAGAATCTTATTCAACTTCTCGTCAACCATCGCCTCAATCTTCTTCTCCATCCTGGGCACCGTTTCTGCTCATGCTTTCGTCCCTCTCATGGGTGTGCTGGTCTCCTTTGATGTAGGCGAGCATTGAGGACACTGCACATCAGAGAGTTCTTTGCTCTCCCGACGCGGATACAGCTCCGATATCACCTTCCCGCAGCTGAACTCCAAGTGTGTGTTTCAACACGAAGCAGGCGAGCGAAGGCGACACTTGGTCAAAATCCAAATTGAAGAATCAAAGCGGCAAGGCGGATGACTTTTTGCGCACCTGTTGCACCTGGGACCTCTGCTGACTCAGCACGTAGGAGCCAAGCATCACAGCATACTCCGGGTCGCTGCCTGTGCGAGCTTTTTGATGGGCTTGGACCCGATGGCCTGCGGCTCTGCAGGAATGTACACTGCAGCTCCGTCCACGCATCTGATCGGTCGCTGAGCTGCTTGCTTGTTCACGGAGAAAGGCCATCAGCTTCTGGTCCTCACGCTTCTGAGCGAGAAGGACCACTCGTTGTGCCATCCTGGCAGTCGTGAAAGGAAGCCACAACCACGGCCATTCATTGCAAACCAGGGCGCGCCTAGCAGACGCCCATGCGTCCGACATAACGAAGGTGTCCTTTGAAATGGTTCCGGTACCTGAGTAGCCGTCAGAATTCCACACAAAGAAACGCTGCCAAAATAGCTCCCAACGGTGGTTGATGACAGGAAAGTCAGGCACCTACAGCAAGAATTTGCAAGAAGGGCGGTGGGGCAAACGCCATGGCCAGGCCCACCTCTTTGGATGCAATGTCAAACAATTCTTTCCTGCAGTTCGTCTCGCTTGGATGAGCGAATCTCTCGTCCAAGTGCCAAGCGCCAGCCCCTGCCTGGCTTCTTCGTTGGGGCCGCCACGGACTCCCACATGCAAGCGACTCCTCCAAGGCAGCTGGAACCCTGGTCCGTATTTTTCTTTCTCGGTCTGTCCTTCTGGGGTTGATCACTTGCGGCGCAGACTTGAATACCCGCTTGCAGTCCTCGCAGAAGCATCGCCTAACTTTGTTAAAAAAAATCGTCTGCCACCCAAGCCAGGCCGGGCACACAGCAATGACAAGGCCCTGCAACATCGACACGATGCGTTGAGCGTGACTTTCCCGAACCTAGGCAAGGCAGCATCAAGCTGCTTGCCCTCGCCGCATGCTCCGATAAAAGCTTGGGGCTGTTTTCGGCGCGCCGCGATCGATGGTGGAGTCGTCCATGGCGATAACCCATTTCCACTGCCTCATTTAAGCGTAAGTGAAACTCATCCACGCCAGTGCTGCGCAAGTAACGGCCTTTGCCGAAACTCTTCCTCCAAGACCTCCACATCCTGCAAGGTCAACAACAAGGAACGAGTGCCCTCATGACCGAAGAGCATCCTCGCTCTCAATCCTCGCTCTCATCGATGAACTGCAGCAGCTTCTGTGGTGCGGTCTGTTCGGCGACAACTTGAAGCTTTTCCAAGCCTCCATCCTAAAATGAAACCCTTGCCTGTCGCAAATCTCGCAACACCGCCAACACCTCCAATCCTTTCTTCTGCGCCTCACATGACAGTACGATTTGTGTGGTAAGTGGACAGAGAAGAGGTGGAAAGAGGCGGACGTCATCGGCACCATGCTTTGCATAGTCCACCAGACCAAACCTCAGCTCAATTGAAACGCCAATTCCCTCTGTTTGTCCTCACAGAATGACAGCGAACAACAAACTCACGAGGCAATCTCAGCACGTCCTTATTCTCAACGTCAACAACACATGCAAGCTAAGGGTCGGATCCATACCGCTGTGACCGCTGTTGCAGAACAAGCGGCTGCAAAGGCAATAAATCTCGGAAACGAAGCAAGGCATAGCCGGTCATGTGTCGGCGGACGGCAAGGGAAAGGATGAAATCACCTGAGCATTGCATCGTTAATGGCATTCCCAATCTTGGAACCGTACTGGCTGACTGTGCTAAAGCAAGTACCCAATTCATCCTGCGCATACTTCATGACCGGCTGCTTCGTCGTGCTGGGACGGGAAGCCTTGCCAATCTTCCGCAAGCGCGCGGTGGTGCTGTTCGGTCACAAGTACCACAAAGTCATCGCCTTTTCATCATGCCACCCATGTTTCAGTGATGGCCTGGCAGCGCAAATGCCAAGGTTGAAGCCGACGTGTGGGCCACATCACAGTTGCGAGCACCGGCCCAAAGCATCCAACTCCTTCTCCAAACCTTCATCGAAGTCCTTGATCGCGGCATGGCTTAGGGGTTCGGGCGCGCATCCGCAAAACATGCAAAACTTGCACCAACACTTGTCCGGAAAAGGGCTCTCGGCAATGCGATCGGACGCAGAGGTCCTTCAATGGCCACTGTTAGGGGTGCTAAAAGGCTGCTAAAGTGAAGGATCCACCAATCGCAGCATGTGTGCGGTCCTGGCATGGCGCGATGGAACGAGCCTTCGAGAGCAGCAACAATGCAGCTGATTCACTTGGCGTTGTCCGCGGTCCGCTGCACCTTGCACTCAGCTGGTTGGCCCAACCTTCAACGGCAGAAACTTGATTCCAGTGCCTCGATGACAGCACAAACTGAACCCACCTTGCCTGGCCAGAGACGACGCCCGAGTTGTCGACAACCAATTCCCATGAGACATACGCAGTTCTGTGTGTTACGGTTGCGTGTCGCTGTTGATGATGATGCTCCGAGAACTTCTAAAATTCATGTCTTGGGTCGTGTCTGCAAAACCACGACACCAAGGGTCCTATGGGCATCTACAGCACGCAGAGCAAGCCACCTAGCGGCAAGCATTTTAAAATCGGCATGCTCGCAAGCAACAAAAAACCGTCGACTCCTGACTCCTGCTGCGTGGCCTTGGTCGAAGACCTACAGGCAGCGTGCACTTTGGGACGATTGCCTGTTGTGCGCTGCCGACCCCCTGTACACCGAACCGCTGCAGATCGCTGCAAGATATGCTTCTGTACCTGCAGCCGCACGGTTTCTCGCAAGCCTCAACACAAACATGTGCTTGGAAGCCGCTCTGCTCGGGGTTCAGTATCGGGAATTCAGTCGAGGAGGGTGCGCGGAGGGTGTGCTCCAGCCACGAGGCCGACAGTTGGACCAGATCTGTAGAACTTATGGCCAGCCGGCTTGGTTGAATTATGGAAGTCCACACAGGGTCGAGACGGGGAGAGGGATGCGTGCGCGTTGACACTCGGAACTACTCCGGCGGACAACGGACCACTTGCCGTGGCGCACAAAAAGGCAGAAATCCGCGACAGCGCCTCCAGTGAGAGTCATTATAGGCCCTCCTTTTTCAACATCCAAAACCTGGAACAGGTCGGGGTAATTCTTCCAACAACATAGCGACACGGGCTTGCAGTCCCCGTGCAGGCTTGCATGCCGGAGGGGCGCGCTGCGTCCGCCGCCGCTGCCGCCTCAGAAGGCGCAGCGGCATGCGGGCGGGGCATGCAGTCGGCATGCAGGCGACATGCATGTGGGGCGCTGTCCACCACCACCGCACAGGGCGACATAGCGGCATGCATGCGCTCTGTGTCCCTGTTCGCCGCCGCGGAAAGGCTGCTTTTGCAGCATGCAGTCGGCATGCAGGTGGGGCTCGCAAATTACCAAAGAAAAATCAACCACATTTGATTGGTTTTTCGGACGAGTTTTGGGACCGATTTGCAGCATGAAAGCCAGCCAACAAATCGGGTCCGAAAATAGTTCCTGGACCCGCCCATATCACTGAAACATCAACCAAATTTGGTCCTACGGAGTTGGTGCCAACATGTTGGTTTCTTCGGCAAGTTCCTCTTTGGAGTACTTTTTCTTTATGTCTGCACATGTGAAGCGGGAACGATATACTCCATGTTTGATTTCATCGACCCATTTGAAATTGAACAGCTTCGCTTTCCGCGGCATGTCGCTTTCAGCTTTGGTTTAGCGAAATCCTTTTCGACTAGCTTTGCCATCTGAACATCCCTGGCTTTCTCGACTTCACGAGGGTCTAACCGTGCGTCAAGCAAATCAAGCACGGACGGTATTTTCTGCTCCCATTGGCCATCGCGTGCCCGGTCTCGGATCTGCTGCAATGCACAAGTGATGCTGCCTACTGTCGGGATTTTGGGTGACGACTCTACGGTTGCGGCTGCAGGCTCTGGCGCTGCAGGGGCCGAGCGTTTCTCGACACTTGCAGCTGGACGTGGCAGTGGAACGGCATTGATGCCGGTGGGTGTTGTCACCTCACACTCAATTTGCATGGAACCGGAACCTCGAAAATGGGATGCTGGCCTTTGCACCTCCTTAGCGAATGGCGATGGTGGTGTCGGGGGGTCATCGTCATGCGATGCCAGCTGTCTGGGGTCATACCGCGTGCTTCCGACAAAGGCGTTCCTGGAGAAGGAATGTCGTGATGAACTGCTTGAGCATCAACACCCGGCGTGACAGGTGGACGCGGCAACACACGCTTGGATCTCTCATCTGGCTGTGCGGGACATGGCCCTGCAGGCTGGTCGGGAGGTGCAGCTACCGAGCTGGCGGCAATCAGCTGGCTGGTTTCGGCTCGGACCTTGGCTCGTTTGCCTGTCCACATCAAGTCGGATGGTTCCTACGGTGATGGCACCTGCATCGGTCAACACAACTGCGGAATCAAGTTCGAGACGCCCTACGAACACACCCTTAAACCAACCTGGTTTAGCTTTGCTGATGGCCTCAACGTTGGGATCTTTGATCTTTGGCCAACACGACCCCGCCAGACTGGACGATCGGAGTCTTGTACTCCCGGCCTGTCACAATGCGGAATGGCGTGAGCTTGTCGGTTTTGATTTAGTACCGAGCCCACACGAATGCACACCAACGAAATCACGGAACTACTGGGTGATTGATGTCTGTAGGCTCTTGTGGGTGCAGATAATCTGCGTCCAGCGCAGCAAGCCAGGCGCGCAGCATTCCAGCCATCCACCGGTTCGTGTTTTCTACACCACCTTGGCTTGCATGGCTGTAACACTGCTGCAACGCGGCGCTGCTTGGATACGCACATGCGCATAACGAGGAATGCCGCCGGCGAGGAGCCGCCAGCAATCGCTGACCTCGGAGGCAGCGCCGTTGAGCCAGTTTGGGTTGGTGACTGGTCCCTTTCCACCGGGGTTATAACCAGGGCCCCACCGTGATGGGATCCCTTTTCGGCCACGGCGACTTCGTCGCCCATCAACTCGGGCGCAAGTGCGTCCAGCACGAGCGCCTCCTGCAGCGCATT